CAGTTAAATAAATGGACTCTGCAGGTTAACTGGGAAAATGAAATTTTGAATATATCTCTCCACCTTACAAATTGATTATGTCTCTAATTATTTATAAAAGTAATATTTACTGAGCACCTGATATGTTGTGAGTTCTCTGCTGGGTACCATAGTGGAGACAATATTAAGATATGCTAAACTGTATCCTTGATAAGTTAAATAAGAGTGGTGATGATGATGATGATGATATCGACTTTAAAAAAACCATGTGAATTCAGACAAGGGAAAAATGACATCCAGATAAAGGTCTCTAGAAAGACATCATGCACAGGCTGGCAATGAGTTGAGCCTTAAAATACAAATAGACTCAGGAGATGCAGACAGGTAGAGAAGAGATGAGAAACATTCCAGTCCGGAATAGAATGAGCAAAGGTACACTTCGGTCAAAACACCGGTGTGTCCAGTCCAATACCCAGATTGATTGATTTCTCCTCTTTTTTTCCAACTCTCCAGGTTGTTCAGCAACATCTTCTTAGCCTTTGTCTGCTAACACAGATGCCAGCCACCATCAGGGTCTAAAAGCCAAACAGAGCCACGCTGGCCACGTCCCTTCCTCACCCTTCTTGACAACAGTTTCTCATTCTCTCGCTGCTCTCGCACAATTTCACATCTCTCCTTTCTGCAAAGAGATTTTCAGCAACTTGTCTGTCAGGAGTGGTTCAAGTCTCAAGAGAAATTGCACAGAAGGTGAGAAGCACAGGGATGGCTGAGAACAAAACAAGGGCTGTGCTCAAAGTTGAGCTCAGCTTAGATACCAAAGTTAATGAATTCCCCAGCAGAACGGGAGGGTCTTTGCTCTCTCATCCAGTCCCCTAATGACACCCAGGTATCTGGCAGTGCTTACCTTGTACTCCCATAAAAGCTAACAGGGAGCTGAATTTGAAAGACAAAATAAGGCTAGTAAATTCCTGAAAGGAGACAGTTCTTTTTCCTTGGAGACAAACCAAATTATGCATTGCCTCTCTCGCCAGCAACATATTCTGGCTCAAACGTTTTTAAAAGAAGGCTGCTGAACATCTGCTGAGCAATTAATGGAATGCAGCAGTGAGCTCTAATGGTCCCTGGGAAGGCATTAGCAATCCTGCTTATGAGACATGAAATGTTGCAAACAGTGGTCCTTTCCCCCTTTTTATTAAAAAAAAAAGTGAATATTCCCCTGCCTGCAGGGGGTGGGGGAACAGAGGAAGGCAAAAGCAGTGGAGATGGGAATTCTTCATCAAATACTCTTCCTCCCTATTTCTTTCTTTTCCCCATGTTACTTCTTCCTTCTCTTCCTAACCGTGGATAGAAATGTGTTCATTTCAACTTCACAAAAGAAATTGTGGCAAGTGTCTAATGCAATGATCACCCCACCTAACATGCTAAGTTTTCTATGTGTGAAGAAATTCCCTCCACTGTTTTAGTAGAAGTAGTCTACCACTGTGTTCAAATCCTTTTTGCAACTAACTGTAGTTGCAACTAATTTAGGACCAATCCCCAACAGACAGCTGGGCCCTCATATTTTTCACTTCCTGATCACAATTGCTGAAGTGCTGGCCTTTACATAAACATTCTTTTGTGTATAAAAGCCTGGCTCAGTGACCATGCACCTGTGGGTACCACCAGTTCTAATACGATTATGACAAGCATGGTGAAACTCAACATAACAGAAATTTCCAAGACTCAGTGCTTGAGTCAGCCCTTGACATTCTCTTCCTTAACTTTTCAAACTAGAGTTGATTGTTGACATAGAAGTCTGCACTTACTCCAGTCCCTGAGCCAGTTGTAACAGGAAGCTCAATAGTGCCAGCTGATTGGGTTTGGAATTACAATGCCAAACTATCAAATCTAACAGGGAAGAGCTGGGAACAGCCACAATGGTTGGAAGTCAAAGAATTGTCTCTCTCTATCCAAACTGGCCCAGTTTAAGACTGGGCTTTTGCCTTGAGCTGAACTGTTGTTGTTCTCCCATTCTCTGGCAACCTCACATCATACACATCTGGGTTGCAGGGGGCTCTCCTTCAAATCTCAGTGTGCTCACCTGAGCTGCCAGCAACGTCCCTCCCTTTCCCTGCTCCTTCTCTCCAGGGATCTGAGTCCCATTTCACAAAATCTCCACTACGAAATGAACTATGAACATTAATTAGAAGAACTTTCCAGACCTTCCAAATTTTGCATTATTTCTTGCCAGCTGGAGCTTAAACGAGGAACAATAAACGCTCCATGGCTATGGGGAATGGGCTTTCTTTCCCGCATGGATTCACGGATGAATTTGCTGTATCTGTTTCCCTGGCCAAACCAGCTTTGCTTAAATACCTGCATTTTCGATCCCTACTTTTCGGCTTCATCCAAGTTCTACACCAGATGTCATTACAGGAAGGCACCATTAGGAAGCATTTAAAATAAGCTTTCGAATTCGGGAAAAAAATGATCTGTCTTTGGGATGTGATACAACAATCGGGCAAATAAAAACAAGGCACATAAAATAACTGATGGAAGAGAGGTATGGAAGGAAGGAAAAGGCATGAAATGCGAGTGCCTGCAGAACTGGAGGGCTGGAGAAGTCGGCTGGGCCTCTATCTCGACCTGTGACGCTCCCCTTTCTAAGACAGGTCCCTGGTAAATACCAGGGGAGTGTTCCCTAATATATCAAGGTACTCCACAGCAAAATACACTGCCTGAACACAGTGCTCATTTAGAAGGTGCGTGTGTTGTTAAACAAATTTTGCATCAGTGGGGATGAAGTAGCAGAGGTTCGGTCTTCCCTCTAAACAGGCTATACCACCTAATTGGAGTGAATCCATCAGTACAACTGTTTAAACCAATTTCAAACCAGTTCCTTTTGACTAAGTTCATGAAGTTTGTCAATGGCTTGTCTATCAGAATGACTACGACTGATGCTTCTGGACATTGTTGGTTCTCCACTTCAACCAGCTACGTGTAACAGTCATGTTTCGGAGGCCACCATCCAGCAAAAACCATCAGTCAACCTCCTGAGTAGGAAGTGGCGATCTGGATCGGTGAATGGCCCGAGATATGTTGGCAGACTTTGCCTTAGGGGTTGCTCTTACAGGTGTGGCTTAATCGTCCTCTGTTTTCACACACTTCCGTAATTTCTTCAGGGCATTTTCATCAGCAATGTTATTTGGAGAGTGGGATTTATTCATTTGCTTGTTGCCATCTTTCCTGGTGAAGGAAGCTTTCACAAAGGCTATTTCATTCAGAGAACGCTGCTTGGCTCAGAGCAGGCAGGCACTCCAGAAATGTCTGCTCAGTGGATGCATTAGGATGGCGAGCTGTAGAATACCAAATCAACGCAACTCAACCCTCCTTCCTCTGAAGAGTCATCCTCTTCAGGTGACCCTATGAATGGGTCACAGGTCCTTTCAGAGGTCCCCTGGCTTCCCAGAGCCCCAGTAAGCAGGCACAGACTGCCCAGCCTGGCGTGTTCCTACACTCTACTTCCATATCCCAGGCTCAGGAACAGTGACCTTTAATACTCATTCTTTTAAGGCAGTGACTGTTTTTCTTAAAACAACAACAAAAAGTATGAAACCCTAATGCAGAAAAAAGACAGAATATAAGCAAAAAAGGGACCAACACACTTGTCCTTCCTGTCAGACTGGGCCACCTCCAGAACCTCCAGGAAGCCGGAGAACAATGCTGGAAACTGTTGCTCCTGGTCCCCACGTACCCAGCATCCCAAAGCCCAGGTGGTTTCCATGCCTTTTCTTGGTGCTTTGGTGCTGCAAATGTCTCCGGCATTTAATCCTATCCATCCTTCTGCCTCCTCCAAGACGCTTTCCTGTATCATTTTGACAGAGCACAATTTATCTCTGCTTCAAATTTCCTACACCATGTTGTTGATAATACAAGGAGTAGAAAGGAACAGACAGACAGACCAGCACAGTAGCTTACTATCTGCCAGGCACTGCTCTAGGTGCATTACCTGAATTAACACATTTTCGCACACAATCCCTCCGGCACAGGTGCTATAGCCATGTCTAAGGCACAGGGAGGTAAGTCTCTTCTCAAGGTTTATACAGTGAGGAAGTGATGGGGCCACAGTTGAAACCAATGGTCCCACCGCAAGATTACCAAATCTGAGTGCTTACGTATGCTCCGCTGCTTCTCCACGTGAGCATTTACGCATGTGCACACTGAGACACCCCCCCACGCCCATTCCCCCAGCCCCTGGTGCCACCAACTCTGCTGCCTCAAACGCTACCACACCACACCTGGACTACACATATTGTGAGGACAAGGGTCATTCCCTACTGCCCTTTATACTCTATGCAGTTCCAGCACAGCACTCTGCAAAATTAAGTACCTCAATAAACACTGTTAATTAAATTTAGTATGAATATAATACAATGCTGTCTATTTCTACACACTTGGGATTATGTGGATTATCACTGAGATTTCTATACGGCGTTAGGAGAAGGACCCTCCCCACCACCCCCCACATACATTTCATGGGAGAAAAGGCAGAAACTCAATGACGTTCGTTAGTTTGTAAGATCATGACCAACTTGGGGTTCAGTTCCTGGCTATGGCCCTGAGACCAACTCGTGGGTCTCAGCTCTTTCCACCACCCTACTTTATTCCAAAATTTAAAGAAAAACAAGTGTCTGTCACATGAACAATTTGAAAACAAGGTTTTGCAGAAAGACCAGAAAAGCGTTATTTGTGGAATGGACACTGTGTTCAAGAACCCTGTTCAGATGAAGCCTGCTGTCGCCAAGGGAGGATGCGTTTAGGTGAGTCACGGATGGTTTTTGCCAGGGACCAAGAAAAGTCACTGCGTTGGGTTGCCTGGTGGGCCCCCATTAAGGCAAAAATACCAAGCAAAGGAACCTCCAAAAATGATGCCCTATTGCTGCCAAAGGGAGGCACCCTCTAGTCTTGTTGTGCTAAAATGGTAGGTTGGGACCCCGCTTTGCTAGAGACACTAGTGAGGCCACAGTGACGGGAAAGCTGACCTGCTGTCAGGTGGGCTGCGTGGACGAGGACTTGGATGCCGGGCTTCAGCTCGAAGTGCACGGCGTTCTGGTTGAGCTTGCGGATCAGCAGTTCCGATATCTGAAAGAAACGTCGCCGTGAGTGCCGCCAAACTACCATACTGACCATCAGCCAACGTGCTGAGAAATCTTTACTGTATTTACCAAGGCATTCCCAGGGGTACGCCTGTGAATTACATACGTGAGTTTCAATGTGATTTTGAGTTTTTCCAGAATGTGTAGAAATAATCCTTTTTAAGTATGACCTGCCTTTCTATCCTGAATGCTACCGAAAGGACAAACTATTAGTAAATCAAATAACTCACACTATTAAAAAGTATCTTGAGTTAGGTTAGAAAAGTCACCGCCAGTTTTTTGAGTTTGTTATACACAGCACTTAAAAGAAGTAGAAATGAACAATTTATGCATTGTGGTGAGACTCACATACATTTATCCTATTTCCTGATAGACTCCCCTCCATCTCCCCCAATGCCTCCCATCCCTTCCCCAACCCATGCCCTGTGGCTTCCACAGAATACATACGCTATGAATGTTTATCTAAAGTAATAAATTAGACAATTGAAACAAAGTGCAACCACAATTTAAGCAATGATTGGCCGACCCTGGTTTCACGCTTATAGATGTCGGGGGACCTGCTACTTGGGCTGACATGTGAGCTAGACAGACACAGGCAGCTCTAGGACACAGCATAGTCAACCCCAACACGGGCCGAAGAACCTCGCTGTGGTTGTAACGGCATGAGGTAAGCTTTTAAAAAGCAGGTAAAACTATTGATTTATTTAAAGTAGAAAACCCAGTTCAATCTGTTCAGTTTTTTTAATTAATTAATTAATTAGTTAATTAATTAATTTAGCAGCAAATTCTGAAAAGCTATCTCCACAATCCTACTCTTTTTATCTGGTCTCCTTGCTTTATTTTAAATACTCTAATCACCAACTTAGTATTTTATTTACCTTACTTGTAAGTCTAATTAGATGCTTCCTGGCCATGATTCTGCTAAATTCTTATTTTTTTCCTTGTATATTTGTTGAGTTCCATTTAGTCCACTGAATTGCAGAAATAACATCTTTGATCCTTTTATCAGTTAAGCGGGGTCAGGTGGCTTTGTTTTGAAGCAGAGTGTCCCTTCCAGAAGCCCCTGCCTGGTAACAGAACCTAACTGCCCTGCAGGTGAACCTCTTTGCTGAGCAGCAGGGGCTTGGGATGCCTGTCAGTGACCTGTGGTTGAGCATCTGGGATCCAGTGCAGACTCAGCCTCTCTAATGTCTTCATTTGGCAAACCATGCAGAAAAACAAGGTTGTAGGAAAATTATATTTGCAAACAACTTCATTCTCAGCATTACGCTATTCTTTTTTTCTGTCCTCCTTTTTTCTGGGCACTGGAAATCTTTCATAATGCTCCAGCTTTACAGGAAGAGGAGATTTCTAACACAGACTGCACCACGCATTTCCTCCGTCCTCTACATTGTTGCACATTTCCTCTGTGTTCTCTACATTGTTGCAATATTCAAGTCTCTGTTCTACCGCATTCTGTTCATTGCATGGTAAGGTCTTGAAAGGAATCTGACCCTGGATTTTTAGAGGAGGTCACTCAGAAGAGTTTGGATTATGAAATACACACATGCACACATACAGAAATGTGTAAATATATAATCATAGATGTGTATGTTTAGTTATATATTATGGAGATGTGCACATATACACACTTGCATTTGCAGAAAAAATGTTTTAGCTCAAATAGGAAAGAGTGGTCAGAAGTAATAAAGGAATCACTCTGTGTTGCAGGGTCCATCACGTAAACAAAGGGGAATATGTAATTGACAGAGAAAGACCTTCTTTTTCAACCAGTTGAAGTGATACATGTTTTAAATCTTGGAGAATGTTTTTCCTCAAGTGAGAGATGTAAATAACTAAATCAAAACACAGAGTTCATCCGAACAACATATTTCTAATTTATAATCTCCGAGAGAGTCCCTCGTGAATATAGTGAACATCCCAAGTTTATTTTCATTTATAACATTGCTTCATTGGCTTTGTCTCTATCATTTACAAAATTAAGCAGGCTATGAAAAACTAATCCAGTGGCAGAAAGCATGCTTCATGTAATTAATTTGTATTAAAGGACATGCAATAGAGAACACATAGTTTGTGGGAGAGAAGTTATGCAGAGAAACAAAACTAAATTTACATTTCATACAAGAATACTCTCAATTAGAACCATGCACTTCTCCACTCAAATAAATGAGTGTGAAACTGTTGACAGATTTTTACAATATTTTCAATGTTTTCTGTGCTACTTGCAGAAGGGTTTATTTTGTACTGTTTTCGTCAGATCAATTGTTATGTATATGTTTTAAATGCATTCTCTGTGCACTGAACGCTTCATACTGGTAAAGTCGCGTATTTCTTATTATTTTCTCCAACTCGGAATGTGTTTGGTGCTCGTGCTGGTGTCTCCTTGGAACAGGAGCCTGGTGCTTAAAGGTCACACCGACACTGACCCAGCGACCATTGAAGAGTTGATGCTACACTACAATACTGTTTGGCTCCTAAACCTAGAGTATTTCCCTCAAAACTATTTTCCTTTCAACAGGTGATGAAGAAAGAAAGCAAAAGCTCTTCAGAAAGAGGTTGGGCAAAGTAGGTATAGGAGGTTTAAAAACTGCATTTCATTTGTTATGGTGCCAAAGTCATCTATAAGCCCGTGACTTTTAACCCCAGTCCCATGTCAGCTGGCCCACTACGAGCTCCGGGAATAGGCGACCGCCAACACCATCCTCAGCACCGCCACAGTCTGCTCGCCAAGCAATATGCTGTGTAACGTCTGGGAGAGCCTTTGGCTGTGAAAGAAGCAGAATAAACTGGAAGCTGTAGAAAAGTGTGGACACAGCCCGAACGAGGAGAACAGACCCCTGCATGATGAAGAATCAAGTGAGACAACGCGGGCTTGCTTGGAGACTGGACCCGCTGAAGCAGGTTGAATTTATTTTTCTTTTTCTGCCCAGTGGAAGTGTATTGTCTGAGCAGATTTCATTTCTCCTTTGTACTGGCAACCCTCTTCTGCTGCTCTCCTACACAACCCATTTTCTGTCCTCCTTCAGCTACATCATTATGACTAACGAAACAATGCATTGTTCTTGGCACCTGCCAAACGGTGCAATATGCCTGTGATTCAGAGATAACTCACACTTCACTGAAAGTACCACTTAAAAAGACAGTGGGGACTCGGTAAAAAATACTTGGAAAGCAAACATCAAAAAGATACAGTAGGAGGGGCCGGCTGAAGGGAAAGCACTGTTTCGCTTCCTTATCTTTTTCACAAATTATAAAATTTAAGTGTAGCAATGAGTGTAAGCTAGATGAAGTGGAAGCCACAATGTTAAAATTTGGGGGCCAGAGACATTCATTGCAGGCGGGTTTCTTGCTCCAACTGCAGGCAGGCAGCGGCCTGTGCTCAGTCTGGTCACACAGTGATGCAGGCTGGTGAAGCAGAGCCCTGGAATGTGTCATTCACAACACTCTGGGAGGGCACAGGAGCCCTTCGGGGATTGCGGATGGCATCTGGATACTTGAGGGGACACCTGTCACTTCTGCTCCCAAGTCATTGGCCAGACTTAGTCCCTTGGATCTGCCCACAGAAGATAATTACGGGTACAACCCCACTGTGTATCCAGAGGGCGGTAAACTGAAAATATGTAGACAACACCTGACAGTTACTATACAAAGAGCACAGGCAACATCTGAACAATCTTTAATAAAACAAATAGGGGGAAGCACACGCTCAGATTATGAGGATGACAGTGTCAAACATCCAAACAGGAGAAGAGGACAAGAGGGCAGCTGACAAATTTATAAAACACGTAAGGCAGAGAAGTGGTACAAAATAGGCTTCGGCAGATTTATCAACGGCAAAGCTACCTTAGGCCAAAAGGCTAGAGCACGTCTCTGAAGCTGGTAGAAGGAACGTAAACCCTCCTGAGTATCAATATCATGCTGCTGCCATGTTTACAGGGAGACTCGCCTGGATTGACCTTGGAGCTGACCTAACCAGTCGATCCAGATCACGTTACATTATTAAGGTCCCTTCAAGTGGCAGTGGAAGAGCCCTCCTGTGGATTTGACAGAGGAAGATCTTCCCCAGTTCATACAGTTTGTAGGGAGGGGGAGCAATGGAACCAAATACTAATTTGAATTAACACCAGCCCCCCTAATTCCATTCTTCCTCAGCCCCAAAGAATCAGCTTGATGAAGGTGCTGAAGAATTTTTCCAGGTAACATAACAAATAAACACATTGGCCATACATACTTCCTCCCCTTGTCTTCCCTATCCCCAGCTCTAAGCTGGCTCCTTTTGCTACATTACTTTTGGTCCAACTCTTGCCTACTCTGTTTTTAGTTACAGTTTCTTACTTCAGTGACCTTCCTGTGAACTCCAGAGTGTTTCTACAGTTCAACTCCCCATGTTAACAAATCTAGACAGAGTAGACTATGTGGGCAAATAAAAACTAGTCTAAGATTATCAATTACATTCCAGAGTAAATGTTTACTTCCTTAAAATGCTGCCAACAGGCTGTTCCATTTTCAGAGGCGCCTCTGCTCCCCCTGAATCTTGGACTCTCCATCTGTCATTAGGTGCATATGGGAACACAAACAACTAAGGAGGAAATGCATTGTTGGGGGGGGGGCATTTCCTGTGGTCTTTTTACTCCTTTGAAGTGTTTTCAGGACCATTGAGGATTCTGCCAGACGACCTGTGAGCTCTCTACCTCCCCAGCAAGGCATCACCAACGACCTTGACCCAGTCATCCGATGGTCTTTGCTTCCTCCAGGGAAACCAGATACAGATCTGCTTACCTCTGGTGACTCAGCGAGAAGGGGGTGCGGTGACTTGGGGGAGGGGCTACTCCATATCGGAGCACCTGGCTGCAGGTGAGCGGGAGGTGTTGTCCCCGAGGAGGCTGGCGAAGGGCAAGCCAGCCTCTTCTCCCTCAATGGGAATCTAAAATAAAGACTGGTGGAACCCTCCCGGACAGAGGTCACTTGATTAACCCAGCCCACTTTACCTGACAACAAGGTCAAGTACTTCTCACGGGGAGGGATTTTCAATTTATTTTACAGACAAGATAGCTAGGTCTGAGCCAGCATCCCTGTCCCCTGGGAATGCCATTAGAAGTGAAAGGAGGGGTGTCAAGAGCCCATTGCTGGGGCCGTGCCCTTGCAGCCTTCAGGGTCCGCCCAGAAGGGTCCCACTTCTCCCCTATGTTGTATCTTTATAAGAAAGGGCAGCCAGGGCACTAAGGGAGGGAATTAGATCAGCCCTTCCCAAGTTCCATCTTCGATTCAGATGCAGCCTTGAAAGGAGGGGTGGAGGTAGTTTCTGTTGTTCGGTTTTGCTTTGAATTCATTGAACATTTCTATGTAATTTATTGCAAAGGCAGTTAGTTGCTTTTGCCTGCCTGGCATTACTTCTCTCTTTCCAATGTTTTCTTTAAAGAACCTTGTCCTATTGCTTAAATTTCAGTGCATTTGATTGAGAAGGGGCCCCCTCTACCCCTGACCCAGGACGGGCATAACACATCAGGCTTGACACACTCTCTCCCTCTGACTATGGGGCCAGCTAAGAGGTGTCCACTTCGCCCAGGGCTGGCCAGTGGGAACTGCCAACTTGGGGCTCTTGTGATGCAGTCAGGGGGAGGCATTGGCTTGGGGTGGGATTGGCAGGCTGACTAAAGAGCAGCTGGGACTTCCTGTGGCCGTTGTTGCTTTCCTATGTGTTGGCTGCATTCTCAGGCCGACTTCCCACGGGACAGCAAAGAAAAGGGAGAGGAAAGGAAGGTGAGAAGAAGGGAGGAGAGTCATTTGATGACACATCTGAGTGGCCATGAACTCATCCAGCCTGAACTATATCCTTAGATTTCTCAACGAAATAGTCTTGGGACTTTACATTTTTCCTTTAAGGTGTCTGAGTTGGATGGCTGTTCATTGCATCAGAAACACACACACGAATGCAAAACAAAGCAAAGCACCTCCCATTCATTTCCTGGTACAACAGCCCTAGTGTTTGGGGGTCCACAGAAGTAAAGGGGTCTCCAAATCCATGTCTGCTGCATGGCAGGGGGCGGGGAGGGTGGAAGGAGAGCACTAGGCTGACAGTTGTAGAAACCGGACTAGGATGTCATTCTCCTCAAAGACTTGTTTCACCTCGGCCAAGTCACATCTCAACTTCGGGGCCCGAATGCCTGCATTTTAAAGTGACCGAGTCAGAGACGACAGTCAAAAGACCCCTTTTGGGAGGAAAACTACATGTTTCTGATGGGCAGCCCACGCGTCACGGGTTCTTGACACTAATGCCACTAATTCATTGTAAACACTGTACAGTATTCTACAGTGTGGACATACTCCGAGTAACTTAGCCACTCCCTATAACACTCTTGAATGTATGTTTTTTTCATGAAGCTGTAATTAGGATCGCCATATTACAAAAAAGAAATGGAAGAGCAGAAAGTCAAAGCCTCCACAAACTGCTGGTTCCCTCACCTTCAAGCCGAGATCCCTTAGAGCTGCTGTCCTGGTGGTTAGATCCCCATAGGACTGTGGCTCAGACCTTTGGCGGAAGCTGACATGTCACCTGGGAGACTCACCTGCTCCAGGTCCTCAGCTGACCTTTTGTGTTCTCCTGCTGGATCCTGATACGGCAGGACAAAGAGCTCGGCAGCCGTGGGTAAGCCAGGGAGCACCGCCACCAAGATGTGGGGGCCTGGGACCCCAGTGGCCTGAGGGAGAGACACAGAAGGGCATGTAAGGCCGCAGGAAAGATGATGAAAAGGGGCAAGTATTCGGCGGGGAGTGGGGTGAGGGTGGGGTGTGCAAGCCAGGTCCTGGGTGCACCTGGTAGGAAGGGACTGAGAGCCAGCCCGAGGCTACCTGTGCAGGCTCCAGAGTCAGAATGTCCGAGGTTTGATCTCAGCTCCACTCAGTGAAACCTTAAACATTTGCCCTCCTCGCACCTACATTCCCTCAAATAAAAAGTGGGGACGCTGGCCGTACGTATAAAAGAGTGGTTTTTTTGAGAAGTGAGTAAGTTGCACATAAAGTATCTATAGTAGTGTCTGACATTCACATGTTAGCTATTTTTCTTATGGGGTATGTCCAATATGGGGCCTTGCCAGTGAGAAGACCCTTACTTACTAAATGTTATCATCTGCCCCTCGTGCCTCAACCCTTTTCCACCTAGCCTCCTCCTCGTGGTGGCACTAGAGTTACCCCTTCAAATTGGCCAATGGCATCTTACTGACTCAACCTAATATAGGTCCCCTGCAGCACAACCCTCAGCCGCTGCTGAACTCTCCACGTCACCGGAACCCAATGACCAGCCCGTGTCATGAAGCACACCGAGCCCTTCACTTTGCCACACTGAACCAGCTCCTAAAACTACAGTTATCACTGAAGAACTTCCTCTTTGTGTTGGCTCATCTGCTCTCTTTTGGGCTTATATCCCAGGGTTTCTCCTAAGTCCACTCCCTAGATGGTTCTAGAATCAATAGCTACAGTCCCCGCTTTTCTCTTTAGTGGACAGTCAGAACATCATTCATTGGGTTACCTAACTAAGATTTCCAACAAACATGTCAAAAAAGGACCTTCTCACTTTTTGCCATAAAACACTAATTCTACATTTGGATGACCCAAGGGGATCCTTTCCCAGATACCCTGGCTTGAAGCCTTCCGTTCCCTTCTGGCAGGACACGCCCCTTCCCATCTTGTATCTGATTGGTCTCACAGATCTTGACAAGCCCACCTCCACAGCAATGATGCTGATGGTCCCTTCCTGTTCAAATACACACTATTCCTATCCCAAGTCAGCACTTACATATTCTCCCCTCAAAGTTTACAATAGTCTCCCCATTTCCAGGACATAGGCTACTACTTCGAGATTTAGCTTCCTTTAGTTCAGCTAAGATTGTGTCTTCCTGTCCAAACTGTTGCAATAATTCCCACTATCAACCAACTAAATATACCATCCCAACCCTTCTTCTCCAGATGAATTACTTACAACTCATGCCGTCATCTTATTCTCCAGCCAGATGGAATTGTGCACAAGTTTTCAATACTTCTGCCTTTTTCTGAAGATATTTTTGTGTGTTCCATCTCCCCCAGAATGTCTTTTCTCTATATTTGCTGCTAAAACCCCACTCTCCTTTCATTCTCAAAGACCACTGGTTTCAGTACACTTTTCATGACTTCCCAATTAGGTAATCTTTTAAAATATTTCTGAACCCAACCTTTATGCTTCTTTCACAGTTGTAAGACATTCTATATATTGAGTCTTTGCATACACATAGCCTTGTGCTAAGCACTTGTTGATATTTTGTAATGCGATCTCCCACAATCACTCAATGCGATTATCATCATGTCCCTCTTTGCGGGTGAAGCTGTATTGCAGGTTGGGATCTGCAGGAAGCAGACATGAGTTTAGCATTCAGGGTGTTTCTTAAGGGTGTTCTTGGGATCAACAGCTAAGGGAGTGAAGAGAAGGAAGCAAGAATGAGTAGCAGAGAAGCTGAGCAGTGAGGAAGTTCAGCTGCAGCCTTGGGAGACCTTCCAGGGGGTGAAAACAGTGCTCCGGATGTGTCTGAGGTTAAACTGAGACAGCCAGGCCCTTAGAGAACTGCATCAGTTACTCACTGGATGTGAGCACCCTGCAAGGGGATGTGACCTGGGGCGAGGCAGTGGAAGCCTCTACCCACGGCACCCCCAACAGTGAAGAGAACAGTCCCTGCATGAAGATGGGGGCAATGCATCTCTATTTCACAGGACGGATGGCAGAAAGAGGAAAGTTAAACAATGGCTCAAGGCCATGGCAGTGAGGGGGGCTGCTTAGTGTGGGGCTTTGGTCGGACCAGGAAACCTCTGCTCTGCACCAGCCCCCTAAGGCCTCCCTTCTCCCGACCATGATCACACAGCAGCTCCTGCCACAGCCGATCTCATACTGTTTCATGGCCCTGCCAGATTTTTAACTCAGAGATCACATCTAAACCATCCTCATCATAAAGAAAAAAAGCTTAATGAATGACATTCAGAGAAAGATTCCACAGTGATATGTCACCAGAAAAACCGTATTTGGTGAGACCCTGATTTTTTAATCTAAATTTGTCACATAACGAACAGGAAAAGTACAACTAAGTTGACCCCACGTTGTACCTTTTTTAGGGATTATTAAGGTGAACTGGGCAATGTGGTGCTTCAGGACTTAAGAAAATGGCCAAAGACAGGGGGAGGCGCAGAACCAGGGCTGAAAGCTGCCTCTTAGGACTGGGAAACCAGGGAGCTTTCAAACTCCTTGTGTACAGCACAGCCTGACCGGAGGGATGTCGGGCCTGTTTACTCCGCATGGAGCTGAGTATGCTACACGCCAGCCTAGAAATATCGAAGAGCAGTCATTTCCAGCCCACTGGACAGATGGTAGAAAGGTGTCGGGCCCAGGGCAACTGGTCCCCGGACAATCAGCCTGCAAAGCTGGTCACTGCTGAGCTAATGCCTGCTTGATAAATCACGTGGGGGGCATCGGGCAGCTGCCTGGGAGGGACATGGATTCCTAGAATGCTGCAGACTGAAGCAGGTGGGCAGTCGGGTCATTGAAGGATGTTAAGTCATCTGTCTTGGACAGCAGGGAAGATTAACCACTTACCACACCAGAGCCAAACAGCTCCAAGAGCAGAAGGGCCTATGCCAGTGGGCCCTTCTAGTAGCTGCGCCCCCTGGTGGTCATAGTGTTTAGGCACCCGTAATGTCAGGGATGCTGAGACTCTCGAAGAGGATGACAGAGGGAAAGTACCCAGAGGTGCATGAAAATACCCCTTCTCCACCCCACTGTTCTACTTATCCCTGTTTCTCTGTTTAATAAGGCAAAGGATTGCAGTACAGTGGGGTGGTTATGACAACATGACATCAAGACTCAAACCTTGATGATCTGACTCTGGAGCCTGAATTTTAACGATAGGACCTTGAACAAGTTATGTGTCTCTAAGTTCAGTTTCCTCACTTGTCTGTAACATGGGAACAATCACACTGTCTACCTCATTAGCTAGTTTTTAAAGCCATTAAATGTGTTAAAATGCAAAGCACTGAGAAGAGTTTCTGGAATATTGTAAGTGCTAAATAAACACAAACAAAAATAATGGTACAACTACGGGGAAGACCAGCTCTTTGCTACGAGGGTGGATGTAATCTGTCTTCTGCGCAGAGGCTACCTGAATGCCTTGACCCCATATTTCTTTGTGTCATGAGGCACTGTGAATTGGGTGCAGGAAAGAATGTACCCCCCCAAAATAAATCCACATTGACTTTCCTTTGAGGCTAAGAATACACCTTTGGGAAAAGTCTCTCACCTCTGATTTTCTGGGATTGTGCAATAAATCCACGCAGCTGCTTGAGCAGACATCTCTGCTCTGCCACTCGTGGGAGCGGAGTGTGGGCAGGGCAGTGTGTCTAAAAGAAGGTGTCTTCTCAAAATGTCAGGGACATTTGCTCAGAGAGGGATAAATCACATCACCTTGCTGTTTTCCCAGCCCCTCCAGGGAGCTGTGTTTCATATGTAAAAACCCAGACATTGCACTCAGAACCTTCTATTCAACTGTGAACCTTTACCACTGATTAGCTTCGAGGCATTAGGCAAGTTATTTAACCTCTCTGAACCTCAGGTGGTCTGTCTGCAAAATGAGGACAATAATATCATCCCATCAGGGCTGCTGTAGGTGACAGTGCCTTTGAAAGACCTGGGCATAGAAGGATAACAAACCGTCACATTCCAAGTGCTCACCATGTGGGGAGCTGGAACCCAGGGCTGCTCTGACTAATTGGACTCACATTGTCTTTCAGTGTCATGCACAATAGCTGATTTTATACTTCCTAATGGTTCATCATAAACTGCTATATGACTGGCACAAAATTCCATGTTCTTCTCTAAGTAGCGTGAAGAACCATAGGTTTGTTTACAGTTTCACTGCCCCCAAAGCATCCACCATGTGTCCGCAAACATGGAGCCCAGCTAGGCAGATGCTGAACAGATCTCCCACAGGTTCCAGCTCTTCCCTGTCATTGCCATTGCCTTGCATGAGGAGGACCCCCTCACTACGGAGCCCTTTGAGGATGGAGAAGAAATGTGCCTGGGCAAGAGGAGGAGCCGTCTGCACTCACTTCCACCAGGGACTTTTTGATGACTCGGCTGATGTCCCTCCTCCACTCTGGGATGTCCGGGTTGTAGTCGTCCAGGTTTGGAGAAAAGGACAGGCGAAGAGATCGGAATTCCTCTGGGGAGACAACAGTAGGGTGATTACAAGTCAAATAGATTTCTCAAGAAGTCAGTCATACTTGGTATTTTATGCAAAGCCCTAATGGAGGATCCTTTCCCTCCACATTCACCTGAAAGACCCCACTAGAAAGACTCAATATCCCATCCCTGTTATCTTTCAGCTCCTCATTCTCCAGACCAAAGCCCTAGGCTCTGGCCCCTGCCTAGCTCTGCAGCCTTTGTCCATGGTTCCCAGTTCCAGACTTTGCACTCCTGACACTAAATGACCTGGAATGCCCCGAACCTTTGCACACACTCTCCCTTACCTAGAATGCCCCATCCCTCCGACCTTCCCTGTGTACAGTTTTCAAGTTCTAGTTGGAGCATTTGTTAACTGAATATCTTCTCCATGTTTTGATTCTCTTTTCTTAATGGTGCAATTATATTTTGCACACACTTCCATTATTATTATATGATTGTACAATAATTATATCATTCCATAATCATTGCATTATTACTATTTTGTTTTTGTATGAAAGTTTTATTAGTGGGATTTAAAGCTCATTAGTTCAAGGGTGTTGTTAGTTGTGTCTGTGGTCCCTGAATTAGTCCCAGTCCTCTAGGAAGTAGGTGGAACTCCAAAAGCAAGGATTTTTTTTAAGGAGAATTATTCAAAGAGAACTGGGGAGGAAGCTGAGCAGCTTGGAGCCCATCAGACTGTGACGTGCACAAGGCGTTGGAGTGGAAGAGGGAGGCAGGGTGGGGGTGCTCAGCAGTGTGAGGGAGGCTCAGAAAGACTGCTGGGGCATCTTCTAGCCAAAGGCAGCCAGAGGAGTCCCCTGTGTCCCAGGGATGGGCCATCCTTAGTGCTCCTGTCTTACTCAGTCCTTGGCTGCCACCGGCCCTAGGAGGGTGTGGCGCTGGCTGCAGCCTGGTGCTGGGTTTCAGAGGATCTGAAAGTCCTGGGGATCTTGGCGCAGCGCTTCTTACATGGTTCCACACGGCCTTTAGAATACAATTCAGATTCACCCCAGTACTGACTTTCTCCGCTGCCTCGCGTCCCGTGGGCTTCCCCACTGCAGGACCCTGTCTTCCCCCAGGCTCCTCAACCTGCCAGGCGCCTTCATTAGTGTGCTTTAACTTCACCAAGGTCACTGCCAAGCACATTAGTGTGCTTTCGCTTCGCCCAGGTCACGGCATCCCCAACTCATCCTCCTCACGCAGCCTCTCCCGGGAGAAGCCCTCCCCACCAGCAGCGTCGGTATCGTCCCTCTCACCACCTCAAACTTCCTTCGTCACATGACCCTACTTGTCTTTTTCATAGTTCTTGCTACTGCAATGATTCTTTTTTTATTGTCTGTCTCCCACTGGAATATAAGCTCAATGGAGAAAGGGGCATTGTGTTTCTGGCCCTGTGAAACAGTACCCAGTCCATGGTGGTTTTTCAGTTCTTATCTATAAGCCATTTAATTAATAACCTTTTCTGTTGTGGCCCTGGCCGGGTAACTCAGTTTAATTAATGCATTGTCCCAATACGCCAAGGTTGCAGGTTCAATCCCTGGTCAGGGCACATACAAGAATTAGCCAATGAATGCATAAATAAGTAGAACAAGCAATGGATGTAGTGAAGGCTCTCTGCCATTTCTGCATTTATTATTTAACAAACATTTATTTCTTGTCTTAAGCAAGTTCTTCTGCTTCAGGGGGGTTCAGCAATATCTGCAATGCTGCTTCCATGGTTTGGGAAACATAAAAGTCACCTGAGTTTCCTAACAATAGTAAAGACTCATTGAACTCAGGTGTTGATGGTGCTCACACGGTAAGGTGTGCCTTAATAGCAGCCTATTCCAAAGATGTATTTTTCCTTCTCTTTACTGAATGATTGGGATGACATTAGTTAATAAAATTGTATAGTTTTCAAGTGTACAACCCTATCATACATCATCTATATATCGTATTGTGTGTTCACCACCCCAAGTCACCTCTTCCATCCATCGCCTTTATCCTCCCTTCACCCTCTCCTACCCCCCACTCCTCTTTCCCCCTGACAAGCACCCCACTGTTGTCTGTGCAAAGACATACTTCTCCAAGCTCGACTATGGTGAGTCACTGGTGGCCTACGTGATACCACCTCTCCAGTTCCGATGAAGAATCATGAAACACATACTCCTTAGTAACCGGGTCAATGGCAGCAGCATGGAATCAGCCAGTCCTAACTTGTCACTTCAAAGACATACGTTTCTGACATTTTCACTTTCCCATATTAACTTTCAGTTTGATAAGAAACTACAGTTTGAAGTTTCTGATCAAAGTGTAGAAACTTCCTTTAAAAGGGAAGATGTTTATCCTAATAAAAGGGCACAAATGAGACAAATGATGAGACTCCCTGTGTAATTACTTGGATGCAAAGCAGTAAAGCAGGGAGGGAAGATGGCTGAGAAGTGTTGCACTGAGTTTATTCACCAAATGGGGGTGTGTGTGGCAGGACTGGGAAGGGTAACCACCAACAATACATACACACACAGTAGTTGCTGAGAGAAAGGAATTCTACATATTCACATTTTCTGTATTAAAAAAGTAAATCAGTGGCCTGAAGAAAATGAAAAGAAACAATGCAAATGAGATTTCCTTTCCTCTGCTCCACTGCATAGCTTTGGGTGGGTAATATTTCCTCTTTCAGCTTCCCAAACACGATGCCTTCTCAGTCTGACCAGGATGGCCTTGAGGTTCCTCTCATCTTGACTACGTTTCATACAGGTTTCTCCCTGACCGTGTACAGGTCTCACACCTCCCTTTTCCTAGAGCATTTCTTTGGAAAACTTGGAAGTTTAAGTTGTTTCTTTTGTCACCATGAGATGCCAATCTCCTATTACCCAGGAATGGCTTTCTCAAGGACCTGTCAGTCACCCCTTTGAAATGTAATCATCACTGAAACATAGAACAGGCTGACAGTGACCAGAGGGGAGAGGGGAGGGAATTTCAGGGAAAAAAAGGAAGGGTTTGCAGGAACAAGTATAAAGGACACAGGGACAAAAACAAGTGGGGGGGGGTGGAAAAGGGAGGGAGGAGGGGAGGGCTGAGGGGTTGGGCTGGGATGGAAGTAAAAGACAGAAAACTGTACTTGAACAACAATTTGAAAAGAAGAAAAAGAAGTGCAATCATAAGAAAATAGAACCCCTATCTCTGGGAGATACGGAGCTTTACTTCCACCAGCAGCAATTAGCACACACCGATGCCCTTAATACAGTGCTGTGATATCCGCTCCCCCCACGGCAAAGTTCTCCGGCACTTTTCCACTAGCTCGTCCTGGAGTTTAAAATCTTCCTGCCTTTCCTGTCACCTGAGTTCCATCTTGCCTAACTCTCTGTGCTGCAGTTTTCCTTTAATATGTCATGAGTGTCATTCACATTTCCTAGTCATATAGATGCAACTCTGGACAAGTCATCTGACTAAAGACAAATTACGGGTGTTTGATGGTTCAGGAATTTGGTTAGAAGACAGGGACTACTTCCCCTGCTCAAGCTCTTCAGTAAAGAAGAGCTTTAGAAATGAAGGTAACCCATGTGATGGAGTGACTCTCTTTTGGGTGATACCTTTCAAGAGACTTTAGGAAAATACAGCCTTTTCCATTAAAAGGAAAAACTGTTAAGGCAAACATTGAGAATGAAAAGACAAGCCATAGACTGGAAGAAAATCTATAAAACCCATCTGATAAAGGACCGTATCCAAAAAATACCAAAAAATTCTTAAAGCTTAACAATATGGATACAATCCGGTTAAAAAGTAAACAGATGATCTGAACATAAACCTCACCAAAGAAGATCTACAGATGGCGGAGAAGCATATGAAAGGTTCAAAATCATATGTCATTAAAAATTAAAACAACAAAGAGATAACCACCACACACCCATTAGAATGGCCTAAAACCCAGAACACTGACAACACCAAAAGCTGACGAGGATGTGGAACCACAGGACTCTCATTCCCTGCTGCTGGGGACGCAGAATGGTACAGCCGCTTTGGAACACAGTTTGGCAGTTTCTTTCAAAGCTAAACATAGTGTCACTACATGATCCAACAATTATACTTGCCCAAATGAGTTGAAAACTTAAGTATCCACAAAAAAACCCCCCAAAAACTATAAGCAAATGTTTATAGGAGCTTTATTCATAATTACCAAAAATCGAACACAATCAAGATTTTCCTCGATAGGTGAATAGGTCAACAAATTGGCACACCTATACAACAGAACATCATTTATTGACCGAAAGAAATGAGCTTCAAGCCACAAAAGGACATACAGGAAACTTAAATGCATACTGCTAAGTAAAGAAGCCAGTCTGGAAAGGCTACATACAGTATGAATGCAACTCTGTGATATCCTGGAAGAGGCAAACTTGGAGAGAGAAGCAAAAAGATCAGTGGTTGTGGGGCTTGTGGAGAGGGAAGGGTGGATGGACGGTAGAGCCCGGGGAGCTTGTGGGGCAGCGGACCTATTCTGACTGATACCATAACGGTGAGTACATGACATCGTGCATTTGGCAAAGCTCATAGAACCGTAGAATGCAAAAAGTGAACCTTAATGTCAACTTTAGACTTACAAAGTTAATGATAACATCATAAAATAATCAACTGTCGAAAATATATATATATACCTTACCAATGCAAGGTGCTAATAATGGGGGGGAAAGAGAGAAAACTACATGGGGTCTCTATTTTCTGCTAGTGTTTCTGTAAATCTAAAACTGTTCTATGGGGAAAAAGGAGAATTTAGGAAAAGGAAAAGCTAAGAATTGCAAGGAGGTGGGAAGAGGATAGAAACATTCTCTTTGGATTCAGAGTCTCAGGCTCAGTTTATTATACTTATCTCGTATTTTCTCACTTTCCTGGATAATTATAGCACATATCTCATAAGTCTGTCTCACAATTCCATTCAACAGAACAGATCATATGTATCAAGTGCTTAGAACAGATGCTGGGAAGGGTTCCATCAATGTTTACTGGCGCTACCATCACCATTATCATTATCGGAGCAGTCAGCAAACAGCACAATAACCTGAAGTCAGAAATTTTCCATTTCCGGGCCCCAGTTTCCTACTTGTAAAATGAGTAGCTGGACCATATAAACCTAAGGCCACCTAGGTTTAAAGTTGTCTCTGTTGTTCTAATGAGAAGACCGCTGATCTGCTTCACCAAGGGGACATGTGTGGGACGAATGGGTCAGTGCCCTGTAGTGACACCTATGACAGCCAGGAAGCAGAGAGAGGAAAAAGAGCATCAGATGGAGAAGGTGAGCACAGCTAAGCGGGGGCAGAGACCCAATCTCAGAGCACGGGCCTGTGTTGGACACCCAGCTTCACCACTTATCAGCTAAGGCAGGTTACCTACCCCTCCAAAAAAGTGAGAGTGATAATACTAGAATTGTTGTGAGGACTCAATGCATCCCACAGCATAGAAAGTAGAGAGAAAGAAAGGGAAGCCAAAGTTTTTGTCCTTTTGGGACCCCTGGCTGGGAAGTTGCCTCCCTGATGGGACCCTGTGAGGAACTCATAGCCTCAGTTTACTTGCACTTACTGTTCGGGCTTATCAAGCCTCCTGTGGTGAGGGGAGGGACAGAGTGGGGAGAACACACTATGAAATCCAACACCCAGCTAGGCAAGGGATATATCATCCTTAGACATGTTCAAAGTTGCTTACAAATTACTTTCTGAATTTGAAGGTCAGTGGTCAAGGTGAGAAATGAAAAATATAACATGCATCAGAATCCATTAATTGTAGAACTGGGGCAATGGATATTATCTGAACCAGGTGGTATCTGCCGGTCTGCCTCTCTCTCTCTCTCTCTCTCTCTTTCTCTCATTCTCCCTCCTCCTTTTCTCCCTCCCTTTTGTACCCTCTGTCTCTGCACAGTATTTACTTTATCTATATTCTTTTGAAATTTTTTTAATTTTAATTTTCAATGATGCACATGTACCACTTCCACATTAACAATAAAAGTTTACATTTTTACCATCCACTAATAACTGAATATCTTTGTATGCAGGGAAATTTTCTCCAAATGAGATCCATTTGTATAAAGCTCCCATTTTCAACCAATAATTCTACCTTTCCATTTAAGTACATTTCCATTCCCTCTAATACTCTGAGCATATTCAACTTCCCCAATGGATCACAAAATTGTTCTGTACTGTGACTTATTCAAACCAATATGCAGTCGATGACAATGCATGACATCTGTCATTGCCCTTCCTTTCTTTTTAATCTACTAGAAGTTTTTTATGGCACAGATTTGTGTAAAAGACATTCAGAGTATTTAGTCATTGCTAGCTATAGACTCCTTTTAATAATCAAGATTTTTAAAGCTGAACTTTACAAAAAACCTCAATATTAACCATTTTTCTTTTAGAAATGGTTTTAGCTATTCAAACACCACCAAAATACCAGGTGGAAGGCGAAAGCCTTACGCAGAATGAGTCTCACTCTGCCCTACATCAGGCGAGTGAGCGAATGGTCACTCCACATGCCCCAGGGCCACAGAGAGAAAACAAAATAATAAACCCTGTGCGGTTTTGAGATGACTAGTTTGATGGGGAACCATGTCTTCCCCAAAGGAGGGGACCAGATCTGACTCAGCTCTTTCCCAACTGCTGTCCTCTGCGCTCTGGTTAGAGGTCAGGAGCCAGACGGCCTCTGATCTGGCAGTGTGGTGCTGAGCAGCCTCATCGGAGCAGGAGGGCAGCGATGAGTCATTGAGGACGGAGCACTCACCATACACCGCGATGGTCTTGGTGTCTTGCAGGATGGCGTTCCCCGCTGAGACCTGCACCGTGATGGTGTTCATCCCTTCGGAAGTAAACTTGAATGATATGCTTCCTTCCAAGGTGATCAAGGGCTAAAATGAATAAGGGTGCAGAGTGAGGGGCAAGATCTTCCCTTACAGAAGAGATGGTGACCAACAAGCTACTTCACTCAGTGGAGGCTCTTCCTGGGGACAACTGACTCTATCTATACCTCCCCGTCATCCCAACTTCAGGCCACAAAGGGACTATTAGAGCCATGAACCCAAGAGACTCGGCCCACTTCTTGTGAATTTGAGACTTCTCTTCTGGCACCCTGCTGATTGAGAGCTGGCGAGATTGATAGGTCTTGCTTGCTGGTGGGATATGTCTCTCCTTATGGATAACTTACATTAAGCAGAACCTTTAATCCAAGGAAATATCCAAATCAGACCAAAGCAGAGGGCTCCTGTTAACCCAGATTTAGGTGATAGTCACTGAAAATATACAAGCTTCCAGGTGTTTACCTCCAGGGTATACCGTCCATAATAAATTATAAATGAACACAGCAACCATGGACACTAACATGGTGGGAGGTAGACAGCCATAGCCTGGTGCAGCTTAGCTTCCTCTGAGAAGCCCTATCAGCAGTTTTCTGGAAGCAGCTGCTATGGAAACAAGTTCTAATTGGATAGTGGTTTCAGGACTCAAGGCAAAAAAACAAAGGTTTGGAGAGGAGCCTGGATGCTGGAGTCCTGAAGGGAAGATTATTAGCTTACTGACCTCTCTCACTCACTACCTGTAATCATTTCTTTCCTGCCTTAATTAATTTTAAAATCAAAATTCATTTAATTCCCCGTATGGCAGAGGAAGACTAAAGCCAGCCTAAGAAGTTTGGGCAACATGAACTGTTGAAATCGGGTTTCTGCTAAAAGGTAAAGAGAATGGGAGACAGAGAATACAGTTGTTTAGGAATTTCACCTCCCAGTACTCGCTTTCAGGCAAATGACCAAGATTTCTGCTCTTCCACTGTAGGTCACGGGACCCGGTTTGGCTGAGTTTACATGGTTTCAGAAGTAATAAAAAGGAAGCTTCTGTTCAGCTTAGTTACGTTAGCTGTAAGGGGAGAGATTCCTTCCGCTGTGGGGCCTGCAGAGGGCCTAGGGTCAGGGGTTTCCTCGCTGGCCTGTGCAAAAGTGTGTCTTAAGCCAAAATTCGGCTCTGGGGTAGACTAATATTTGCATGAAAATAAAATGCATTGCATTGGAACAGGTAAGACACCGAGTGAATGTACTTCTGCTGGAAAGAGATGAGCATTTTCCAGTCCAGGGCAGTCTGGTCCTGGTGCCTCATGGGGGGTGTTCAGGGGCCTCAGTACTCCTGCCTGAATTCGGAAGCTGATTTTAATTTCTGAGAATGGAGTGAGTTTAAAAGTGGAACAGAGCATGCAGCCCCGTGTGAGGAGGATAAAGATTCGCTCAGGCTTCAGGAGGCCTCAGCTCCAGCCTCTGCATCAAACAACTGGAAGAGGTTGGAACCTGCCGCTTTGCCGGCCTCATCCTCAGTTTGGTCATCTGCAAAATGAAGGACTCAGTGTAAATGGGGTTCAGGTCCTGCTGATTTTAAAATGCCTGCTGATTTTTGACCGTAGGGAATGTTCTGGGAAAACAGAAAGGGAAAAGCTGACCGAAAGACGTGGCCGTGTCAGATGCAGGAAGAGGAGGCCATCTCAGCGGGGCGGGGTGGTAAAGAGCACCCACTGCTTTTGCCTGGCCCGTATCCATTTGCCTCCTTTCCCTCTGGGGACCACTCCCTCCCTTGTCTTGGTCTGTGTTGTTCTCAGCAGGCTGACTTCAACACTTCTCTTTCTGCCCTACCACTGAGATCAAGGCCTGGCTGACCACACGCCACTCCAGGACTGCTGCTCGAACTTTGGGGAAAGAGTTTATTTTCCCTGCTCATCTGTAGGGGTATCGGGCTCGGAGTACTGCTAAGGGTCACTGCAAAGGAAAGCCCATGTAGGGAAGGACAGTATCACAGAGGCAAGCAGTGGGGGGTGACGTGGTGAGAGAGAGAAACAGACAGGCAGAGCAGCGGAGGACAGCGTGAAGGAGACGCACGGTTGGGAACACGGGTGCGCTGAGCGCCTGCTGGCCTGAAGCTGGGGCGCCACCCCCCGCCCCACACTCTGGACTGCCATACGCCGTCTGGTTCCCTTCTTGCTCCGGCCACTTTGCCTGAAGCTGCCCCTAGAGCTCACGCGTGCTGCCTCCAACACGACCCACCTCCGTGTTGTTCCCGTACCACCACACGTAGGTGAGGGTGCCCACTTGGCTGGGCCACAGCACTGCGGTCGCGTTGACCTCTTTGTTCTTTGTGGTGACAAAGGGAAGGGACAGGTGCACATGCTCCAGGGGACCTGAGGCACAAGGGAAGAGAGGACAGATAGAGTGGGAAGATTTTTCTTGGTTCTCTCATCTCTGCCCTGAAGAGAACCAAGATCCATGATCCATTCTGGAAGCCCCCGAAACGTAAGTCCTATTTCCTGGGAAAAGTGCTCAGGTGCTTTCTCTACTTTAGAGAAAAGGATCTACTGCGAATAATTACATCTCAACATTGTCCATTTACTGACAATGTAAATGTGCATGTGTGTGCATGTCTGTGTGTGCATGTGCTTGTCTGTGAAGCCACCTGGGTAGGTCAGTATGGAACAGACCGTGTTTGGTGTTGACTGAGGCTTGTCCAGGACAAAGGCAAGCGTGAACGGGTAGAGGGCTCTGCGGTTCTCCGGGTCTCAGGATGTGTTAACTAAAAAGGGATAATTCTATCTACAGAGGCTGATTAGACCAGAAACCTTAATCAGATGAGCAAGCCCAGAAGGACAGAAATAGCCTCCATGTAGACAACCACTAGGACCTTTCCTATGACCCGTGTGACCTTTTCCTTGAGTCACTGTTCCCAAGAAAAAATGCCTTTTCCTCTGAGGTGAACAAGACAGAAATCTATCATTGGTACCATCATTCCGTGAGTTGGAGAAGGAAGTGGTACCTCGGGCCTCCCCGCCTGCCCAGTCCCTGCCTCTTCTTCTGCCGACCTTTACGTGTGTTTCCCAGGATGCTGCCTCTGGCCTCTTCTCCCCCCAGATGCTCTTCCACTGAGTACTGCCATCCATAGTCTGACCTTCAACTATCAGTTACCTGCTAAAGGTTCCGCAACCAGCTTCTTGACTCCAGACTCCGTTAAAAACCCATGATTCCCCCCTGTCTGTAGTCTCCATATATTGGTTAATAAAATGAATGTTTACCCAGGGGAGCAACTCAGAAGCAGAAAGTTAATCTAGATAGCTTATTTCTCACCACCTACACCCATTTAGGAAACCATTGATCTGGTTTCACAAATACCTCTCAGAGCTCTCCTGACCCACCCTGATCCTGAGCTAGTTCATACACCCCACATGCCCTCACCTGGACCATTATGACTGTTACCGATTTCCTTGCCTCTAACCCGCCCCTACTCTGACCCACCTGCTGCTCCAGGTGTCCCGTGCCTGCCTCCCTCAATAGTACCTAAGCTGCTTTCAGTGCCAGGTGTCCCAGCACCTGGAATAAAATGTGTGCTCCAGGGTGAGGGTACAGTGAGCACCCAGGCCTTGATCGGGAGGTGCCTCTCTATGTTTGAAGAATGGTAAGAAAACCCAAATGGCTGCAGTGCAGAGATGGGGGCAGGAGAGGATGCTCATGAAACGTAAGAGGCATTCAGGACATGCAGCTTGTTGTCCTTGCAGGCCCTGAAATATGTATGCATGTTTGTGGAACTTCATTGTTGCAAGTATATAGGCTATATGTTCCCACAGTGAATGGCCATGACTATGTACCTTCTCACCATCCTGACTGTTCCAAGATTGTCCTAGAAAGCCAAGTTCATTATGCTATTCACTAGGTCAAAATTAAAATCCCCATTACTTAATTATAATAACAATGACAGTTGAACGTGTATTAATCAAAAATTTGTGAGGCAGAGAACACAGGCTGCAGACTTTTGGAGGATAAGATCCCCTCGTATTTACCTTTATTGATAAGGCTGGCTTGGCTTCCAAGACACAGCAGATACTCACACGATGGCTGGGTGACAAGCAAACTAACTTCCTGCCTCTGCCTTTATGCTCGCTTCTCTCTCTCTCTATGGAATCTGAGGCTTCGTGACCAGCATACAGAACAGAATTGACTTTCTGGCTTATGAGCCATATGATAAAAAGGGGTTGGTTGCAAGTCGGAGTGGTTCAATGAGACAGTGAAAGGGCAACACTACTGAGTGATGACTGTGTACCACGCATCCTACTAACGGCTTTTTATTCTCATTTAATCCTCACAACCACCTCATGAAGTGGGCCCTACCGTCCTCCCACTCCCATCTACACATGAACAAACAGAGAAAGTGGACACTCCTCACTTCCAGGATGTGAGCAAAAGCAGCCTAATTCCAGAGCCCAGGTGCTGGCCAGGGGACATGCACGATAAGACTTTCCCATTTTCACAGAAGAGCTAGCAAGAGTCCTGACTTACTGACAACTTAATACGATCCGGGCACTAGAAAACGAACACCACGCATTCTGTTCTATGGTGCACGGCCCCTGCTCTTCCTGTTCGCTCCGGCGGGCCATGCCTTGTCCCACCCCAAGGCCTTGGCTTCTACCACCTCTGTTACAGCATCTGTGAGGCTTCCAGTCTCAGGTCCATGGTCCCCTCTTGTGTGACAGTTCCTGATTTCCCAAATCTGAGTTAAATCCATCAGAATGCAAGAACTAGATCACCTCTCTTAGTTCCACTCTCCAAAAAGTCCTTTTCTTGGTCTCTGTCACTTATGATCATTTAACATTTAAAAATAATCAGAATATCAAAATAAGGATGATGCCCATGTACCCTGTTAAGGACAAAAATTGAATCTTGTGACTGAAATGTGGTCGTTCATTCGTTTCACTAGTTTTTGCGTGCTGTTATGTGTCGGGCATTATTCTGGGTGCTAGGGACACCTGGCACTAGATGGAGCATATGTATTATGGAGGGAGGCAGGCGTGGGGCTGGGGAGAGAGTGCTGTTTTTGACAGATCGGTCAGGGGAGGTCTTTCAGAAGAAGAACTGACCTTGGAGCAGCGACCTGCATAAAGTACAGGCGAACACCCAGTGTCTGCCAGTGATGCTCCAGGGTGAGGGCAGAGCAAGTGACAGAACTTGAGCAGAGGGTTTGCTCTCCATGTGTAAGAAACAGCAAGAAAGGGCTGTGGCGCAGACACAGGGAAGGACTGGAAGCCCAGGAGATCTGAGAGGCATTCAGGACACACAGCAGGTCGGCCTGTGGGCCCTGAAGTACTCACACGTGTTTGCATGAACTCATCCCTGCATGGGTGAGTTCATTACACATTCACACAAATGTGTGGAGTTTATCTTTAGGATTCCCAGATCATCTTCTATTCACTTACTTCTTAGATGTTTAATATACTTGCTTCCTGCTGCCCCCAAACCTACCACTTAAGCATCTCTCTTCTGTACAGAGGGTGTGGTCTGCCCTAATAGAGCCACAGAAGTTGGCCTCCAGCCCCTGGAGGCCCCAGCTGGCTGGCAGCACCGAGCTCAGAGCTGAACAAACTGGCAGGTGCTTTTCTCCATCAAGAGGTGCCTGCAAAGCCCAAAAGGATCGGGAGGTGGCACTGCATCACTCCATATGAGTCTTCCCGCAAGGTGGCCGAGGGGACTGCAGAATTCCTCCTGTGAACCAGCTTTTCCTGCTCTCGTCATGTTTGGCCCCTACTGTGCGGCAGCAAACAGCTGGCTGACCTTTGTGGGCATGTGTGTCTGTGTGCATGCATGCACTGATTGTTCTGGCCTGCTCGTAGACCTCCTCCGACCACCAAATTAACTGTGTGCCTCATCTTGCTGTTTGTCTGAAATGTTTAAACATCTACTAGAAGAAACAAGCACATCAAGTATAAAGACCAGCTCCTACAATAGAGCTCCTTAAACTTCAGTGTGCACCAGGATCCTCCTAACCTGTTCGAAGCAGACTGTGGAGCCTCAGGTCCAGGAGTTCTAACTCAGCAGGTGGGGAGGGCACCCAGGACACCCCATTTTTGCTATGCAGTTTTGGGGGAGGTGACTCTTGAAACCTCACTTTACAAAACCCAAATAGGACATTTGCTGGCTGGTATAATGATCCTGTGAAAGCTGCAAAGCTCCCCAGGACCTTAGGACACAGAGCACTTGACCCTGAGATGGAGACAGAGAGACATCTGGAAACCTCAAAGGCAGGGTAACACCCATGTATCGCATTAATGCCCAAAACTGTAAGGAGCAGCTGAAGAGAGAGGCTTGGGAGGGACGAGAAAATCCACTTCATTTTTTAATTTTTACTTTCCATTCTGCAAATTTGCGGTTTTCAGTGATTTTTCTTTTCTGCAAGACTTGTTTAGACAGGGCAGCTTTCTGAGCAGAAATCTGCAGGTCCTATAAATTCTCTGTCCCAGGCAAGGCAACGGTGGCGGCACGGTGGGAGGGGGTCCCCTTAGTCTGAACCAAGCAGGGCACAGTGAATACTTTCCCTAAGGAGTTTCCAGCGGACAGGCCACAACAGGTTGCCCAGCCACCTGGCGAGAGCTGCCGCCCCGTCCTAGCAACCTGCCAGCAGGAATGTCATCTCCACTCGTTTCTGATGACCTTTGAAAACCGGTATGAAAAGCCTCTGATTTGGAATCAAATCACCCTTCTGTACTGGAAAGTGGAGGGAGTGTGTTCAAAACAGGTACCAGGGGGAGAGTCCCAGGCAGAGGGGAGGGTGTTGGGTGGAAGGAGCAGAGGGCAGGCCTGGCAAGCTGAGCCGAGACTTGCTGCTTTGAACCCATGAAGTACAAGTGCATGTGCTACTTTGTGATAATGGACAATCAAGCTTTACTAGTTGACAGGCCACAGCATATTATGCTCTGCAGAACCTTTCAGAAACACAATGTGCATTCCTCAGCGTGACAGAGAAAAATCTAGGCTCAGAGAAATGCAGTGACTGCTGGGCCAGGATAGTATCTGGATCTCCTAACCCTAAACTCAATCCGGCATTCAGTTTTTGTTTGTGTTTTTTTCTAAATGCCACCTCTGCCCCCACACCACACCCTGGCACTGTGGCACTGAAAATTGCCAGATACCCTTCAGGTTTGAGATTTGGAGAAGTGCGAGTCAATTATGGTCTTGCTCTGACTTCCTGTTAGTTTAAGAGGTGCCGAAGTCACAGTTCTTCTCCAATCCTTGCTTCCTCCATTTCAACAAAAGGGCCACCGTTGCCTGCCCGGGGCAGACAGGTGCCCGGTGAGCGAGGGGGTCCCTGTGAGCAGCAGCTCACAATGGTCCTTCAGGAGAGAGGCGCTAACGAACGTCCTGAAACCGCTCATGGGCTTTGGATGTATGTGAATTAATAAAAGCTTTAAAATAACCCCCTTTAATACCGTCAGGACAAAAAAGTCAATTGTTGTCCCCAGGGCCAGGGATTCCATTACATGAGGCTAACCACCTCACCCAAGATGAGTCTAACAAAATTAAAATCAGAACTCAAAACTTTCCATTATGCATCATTTCCCACTAAGGTTAAGGTTAAATACTTCTACCCGTCGACTAGGCTAACTGAGACCAAAAGAAAAAGAAAAGAAAAAAAGCAAGTGAACAAAGAAGCTCTTTTCTTTCATGTCTTTTACATGTTGTGACTTCAGCAACCTTTAATTTTGAGCAGGGAAGCTCTGTGCTGCTTTTCCTCCCAGGATTCAATAAACCAGGGAGAGGGCCGGGGTAGGGAGGGACCCCTTAGGGACATGATCACTTTTAGGGATGAGACAGGATCCACCAGGAGGCCGAGCAGGAGGAGGAGCTGTGCAGGACTCTTTGAGAGACCCTGAGAAATAGAGACAAGAAGCTACTGCTGAATTTTAAATTGGTCTTTAGGCATAGAGTATGGTAGATGCTTAACAGTAGCACATGGGATATCGAATGAAACTACTGTAATTCTTTGCCCAGCATTCTCTAACAGAACCCTTACGTAACTGGAGAAAATGATAGCCATTCTCTGCAAATGCCCTGTCATCTGGTTGAGAGTTACTTTACTGCCCAATATTTGTGACATATTTTTGAAAGCCGCATGATCATTCCCATGATACGATCACCTGAGACTATTGTTCTGTAAGAGGCAACTCCAGGAAGTCCACCTAGGACAGCTTAGGGGTCACGGCTGGGCCACGTAGTAGGGATGCAGCTTTGCACGGGTTATCTAAGCTCCTGGGGCCTCGCTAGTTTTTACAAGAAGGGTTTCTAAGGTTGCCTGCTTCACAGGGTTGTTTTGAGGACTGAGATTATACACATAGAGAATCACAAAACCTGGCACACAGTGAGAATTAAAAAAATTAACTGAAAAGAGGGGTGTGGAGTTGGCAGACTGGGAACCTTGTAAAACTTTGTTTAAACCCAGAGAAGCCGGTAGAGTGTTTCTTCAAGCATCTGTCATGAGTGCACAGGAGATAAACATCAAGGGTTGCTGATGCAGCAGGATTATTTGGGAGCCAAATGATCTCTTGGGGATCATTAGTGTGTCTTCCCCCTGGACCACAGCCACTTAAAAATATTTTAATGAGCGCATTCTGCACTCAGTTGGGTTCAATGGCAGGGGGTAGGTGAGTGGCATGGACTATTGCCCAGCCTTAATACTCTTGGCCTAGAACTCAGAATTAATTTGAAAAAGGCCCTTCATAGAAAGGAGCTACATTCATTTTAAAGTAAACTATTTCTCTAGCAACTTAAACAAGTCCTACGTCCATCCGAGGACAGTCACAAACTTACTATAAAAGGCATTATCAGTCAACGTAACTTGGTATACCCACACATTCCTTAACGGGGAAAAGCTTTGACATTTCTTGGAACTATTTCCTAGGGTAGCTTTTTTTTTAACATAGTTTACACTTTTCCCCTCTATACCACCTTCTCTCTAACCACAAATCATCTCCAGATTAATACCAGGAAACGCACTTTTAAAAAAAGAGCATAAATCTAAAAAATGTTAATGGGGAGACAGACTGGGGGAGAAGAATAATCAAATGAGGAGAAATTCTTTTCCTGATGCTAATTCTCCACACATTAGATTGGGCCATACAAACAGCTTGTTTTCCAACATTTCCGACCCCCCCCCCCAAAAGGGACAAATTCATATTCAATCGAATAGCTTAGCAGGCTGCTCAGGGCTGGCCTCCAGACATGGGTGCTGCTGTTTCAGGTGCTCAGGCACCTGGAAGAGGCACAGAAAATGCAATGAAAAAATTTGAAGCAAACCCGAGGGCAAGGTTATTCAAACTCCACTCCCTGACTTTCTTCTTACTTTCTCCCCACGTGGCCCTCTTATTCTCCTTCCCTGTCCTGCTAAAAAGGAACTAGTAAGCTTCTTCTAGATAGGGAACTTAGGGTTATATTTGAAAAAGACACAACATTTAAATTATGTCATAAGTCAACAACAGTAACAACATACAAGTTACATGTAAGTACAGGACGGCGCTGTCAGAACCGAGACTGTTGTCCACCTGCACGGTCACTCGGAAAATGCCCACATTGTGATAGACGTGTTTGATCCCATCTTCCATGGAGCTGAGGTTGACGTAAGACACAGCGATGCCATCACCGAAGTCCACTTGGATGAATGTCCTCTGTACGTCGCCCTGAAAAACAGTCCAGTGTCAGAGGAGAGGGGGTCTGGGCCTGGCTGCTCTGCCTGGGGGGTCGGGGCTTGTCCTGGTTGCTGGCTCCCGGATCACAGCAGCTCTGGCTCCCTCCTGCCATGGGGAGGGGCCATCTGTGTTTGACAGAATCCCCATGACCTCCCCTGGCAGACAGGTACTTACTAGGACGGACGCTCTCCAAATCTGAAGGGCACCATCTACCAAGAGTTTCCGGGCTGCAAAAGTTAAGTGTTTGATTATGAGCTCCAAGTCGATATTCAATTCTCCTGATAACTTTGCCTAAAGTCTTTTCATCCTTGTGAATAACATAAGATGTACACAATTTTAAATATTCCCCTACTTTTCATGGTCCTAGACCAGTTCCCTGGTGTTCAGAGCCTCTGAGGCCCCTTATAATTCTGGTTCCCTGGCCATGCTGGAAAAAGGATAGGAGTCACCTTGCTGTGCACCTATCTGCCATTAGGCTCAGCCCTACTATTATTTAAGGTAATGATGGTTAATTCTTTTATAATTCAGCATTTTTTACTATGAAAATGATCTCATTTTATCCTTTACAGGATCTTAGCCTGGTGAGAAAAGTAGGCATTGTTCATCCATCTTACAGATGAAGATGCTTCGTCAAGAAAGGTTTAATCATCTGCTGAAGGTTAACGCAGCCAGTTAGCAGCAGCCCTGAGGCTGGAATCCATCCCTCTGGACTCCATTTCATTCATTACATGTGGGTAAAAAATCGACGGGCCTGAAACTTAGTATGCCATTCACAAGCTAGATGATGCCAAGCATGCCAGTTGGCCTCCTTTGCTCCAGCAAATGGTCATAATACCTCCCTGTCTGAAGTCAAAAGGTTGTTATAAAAGGCACGCAAGTAACTGATGATCTGTGAACTTCTATACCCCCAAAAAAGGCTGTAAAAACAATGTAACTGTAGAAGACTAGCAATACCCCTTTTAAAAGCTCATTTAGAATCACAGGATTCTGAATTTCCTGCAGGGAGGTGGGAGAAGATAAAGTGTGATTTATAAAATTCCAGACCCACTTAAAAAAAAAAAGGCCTTTGGAATTATAGTCGGGATCTTAAGGAATGAAGTTTCTTAGACCCAGTTGACAAATACCAGCTCCCTCTGCACACAGCCTATACTTTAATACACTTGCATCGCCTGTTTTGTTAGCTGTTCCCATTTTGGGGTAAAAAAACAACAACTTTGAACTAGAAATGTATTTTTGATTAACTAAGATTTATATGGTAGCATATCTTGAAAAGGCCAAGTTTAAAATGCTGACATTGAAGATGAATCCACGGGGGAAGGGAAAGCAGTTCAAATCCCATGAATCTACGTGACCTAATCTTCTGACCTCTGCCCGGCCCTGCACTAGGAGGGGGACACAGCAGCTCACGCTCAGTGAGGACAGGGCAGAAATTCTCCCCCGGGGTGGGAGAAAGAAACTCCATTCAAAACCACTGAACAAATACGCACACGTCTAGACATTGTGCAGTTACGTGAATTCCCTTCACTAATAAATATAAATGTCAGTCTCTTGCTGACTTGTCCTTCATTTGGACAGCCCACTCAGACTGATCAGTTTCTGATTGTCTTTCTGGTCAGTTTCCATCCCCATGTTTTTTGCATTTTCAACAGAGTGGCTGCCAGCTGACCCTAAAAGAGCCTGCCTTTTCATCTCCTCACATTATTTGGGACAAGTGTCTCAAGGAGTAGCTAGGAATTATTTTTTTTTAAGATTTTATTTCTTTTTTAGAGAAAGGGGAAGGGAGGGAAAAGGAGAGGGACGGGAACATTAGTCGTTTGCCTCTCACGTACCCACAACTGGGAACCTGGCCCACAACCCAGGCATGTGTCCTCATGGGGAATCAAACCTGTGATGTTTTGGTTTATAGGCCAGTGCTCAATCCACTGAGCCATACCAGCCAGGGCAGCAGTGAACTTTAAACAAACAGTCTCACAAATAAAAGTCATTCTAGGGGGTGACAGGAAGGAATGTGCATGGCATTACAAGTGTGTACAACAGGGAGAGGTGGCATGCTGAAGTTCTGATCTGATTAATAACATCAAGAAAGGCTTCCCAGAGAAAGTGCTATCTTAGCTGAGAAGGCCAAAAGCAAAGAAATAAATTAACCAAACAAAGGACAGGAGTGAATGCAATGGAGGTGAGGAGTCCCTGCAGTGAGGACAGAGGAAATGGATGTGCAAGGGCCCTGTGGTAGAAGTGGGTGGGACGGTTGAAAGAGGCTGAGGATATGGACACAGTAGGACCATGTTATGAAATGAGACCGGAGCAGAGAAAGTAACATGCTAAGACTGGTGGGGAATGTTTCTGATTCTGATCTTCCTCCTAACAGAAATGGGAAGCCCTTAAAAGTGTTTTAAGCAGGGGTTTGGTGGATAATGGCATGATGATATTTTTAGTTCAGAAAGATCACTCTGGTCCCAATACTGAGGATGAATTAAGTAAGAAGCCAGTATTCTGGGAATCCAATTAAAGTAGTTCAGGGCAGATGATGGCGTACTGAAATATGAGTTGCAACAGGAAATTACATGCACCTTCCTATCAAAGTAAATTCCCATAATTTATTAGTTTTGAAATCAGTGTATCTCAGCCTCTGATATCAGCATCTCTCATAGAAATTTAACTCTGCCATGTAGCCCGGTACTTACTGAGCTTCTGTAACTGAAAGTCACTTGGGGTCCCTTCCAGAGGGAGAGGAAGGTGATGGTAAAGGCAGGGCACTGCCTTCTTTTCCTGTTAGACTCTAGTCCTGGCTTTGACTTTGTTCCCTCTGATACCAGTTTTGTTCACAAGTGGAAAGATGGGTTGGCTGTCAGAAACTCCGTGTACCATTCTTTCTTTCTTTTTTGAGAATTTTTGTAAGAGTTTATTTAAGTCAGACTGATGACGATTGCTAAAAAGTGAGGTCTCAAATGCTCCCTCCATGCATGATTCTTATGTCTTCCCTCTGGTGAAGGAGTATCATGTTCAAGCCATAAGAAGATAGAGAGTACAGGAAACAACAGGTCTTCGGAATTAGGACTTGGGGAAAATCTTGTCTGAGAGTAACTTCAATCTAATAAATCACGAGTCATCATCCCTGATTTGGAACTTAGGCTGGCAAATAGCTAGGTTGTCATATACAAATCTTTAGACCTAATGCCACTTAGTCACATGCCCTAATATAGATACAGAACTGAGAACATCACTAGCTCAAAAGAAGGGCCCGGGAGAGGCACAAAAGCCAAATGACATCCACATGGGGATTCTCTGAGGGCATCACATCACTGACTCTGTAACAGTAAAACAAATACATCGAATGGCCACAACAAAGCCCAGATTAACCTGAGGAATGAGAGGAGTGTGAACCTATTAGTTCCTGTCACATGGCTACAGAGAAAAATGGGAAAACAAATGATGTAGTAACTCCGCATGGACAGCTTCAGACTGAAATGCGACTCTGAGACGCTCCTGTCGGCGTTAGGGAATCTCTGAAGATCGACACTGGGCTTGGACACCAGAGCCTAGTCCTGCCAGAGCTCCAGAGGGGGCCTGGCTCAGGAGCCACTCAAATCCAGTCTTGAAACGACCTTCAAGTTCATGCAGAAATAACTTCACGTAGAGAAATGACGATAGTAATAAGTATTTTGGGGGGAAAAAAAGCAATGAATATCACAGTGTGTATACTATAAACCTGTGTGGGTTTGTGTAAAGAAAGGTGCCTGCAAACACACCCAGCCTGTCCACACTGCCTGAGGGGGAGGTGAGGGGCAGGAGGTGCTGGGGGATTAAGAGAAAGGGAACAAATGGGGGAAAAAGAAAGATTCCACCAAATTAAAAAAAAGGAGTGGGATATGGTATAGCACAACAAACAGTAAAAAAAACCAAAACACTATTCTAGCTCTACTATTACTGTAAATACTGAAATATTGGTGAAGGATATGGGAACCAACCAGAAGGTAACCCAGATACTGGTTAGACGGATGATGGGACCCAGCCAACTTTGCTCTTGGATTTTCGTTGCTATCTGAAGCTCTTTTTCATGAAGCTGCATTAAACAACAAACAAAAATGAGGTAACTCAGTCCTTTCTTCTCATGGCTAAAGATATCTGGGCAAGGTCAAGAGCATCAGAGTGGCCCACCACTGCCTTGCAAACCCCTTTGTGGTAAGGTCAGAGTCAGGTTAACAAGGCCTTGACAAGAAACAAGGAGACAAGCGTGGCATCATGTACCCTGGCCTTCAAACAAAAGACTCAATGTCCACATGAGTAAAAGGAGAGACATGCCATCCATCTACCTTGTGACTTCTTACCTAAAGTGTGCAAGTAACATTGTTCTAGAATGTCCTCTGACAGTCACTAAGGGAAAAGAGAGAGAACATTTCTTGAAACTCTACTGTGCAAGAAATAATAACAGCTGCTGTTTCCATAGTATCTCATTTATTCTTCAGCCCTAAAGACTCAGACTTAACAGACTTAAATTTTGCAGTGTCACAGGACTAGGTTGAACCAAGCTCTTCTTACCTCCCAGCTCGTCACTCCTACCTGTTCACAGAAGACATTCAAACTACTGTGCTCATTCCCAGGTGGTGGCTGCAGAACAGTCACGCCCGTGTGAAACCAGAGAGCTTTGCAAGCTTCAGTAATTAAAACCCTTTAGAGGGATGCCAACATGCATCCAGTTGTCCATTACGCAGTGATGTAAGAGGAGCCCAATGGAATCACCAGGCTCTATAAAAGACCGTGGGCCTATAAGATGCACCTGTAAAGATCCTGTTGACGTGAATGTTTGACAGAGAGTGAGAAGACAGGAATCAACTGCTGTACTTATATTGGAGCTGCCATTTTATGATGGTGAATGGAACCCCTCTAGCACACGGCACAGCAATCTATGATAAGAGAGTGGAGTGTATGTACCTTCCCTTCCCAAGTAAGTTCTGGTCCTCGCTGGTATGCCCTGTAACAGATGCCACTGT